ATAGATGTCAACCTTTTACTGAAAATTCACACTTACTGCCCTCTAAACTTGGCCCCATCACTGCTGAATTTATGCATCAACTCATAGACTACCTTAGCGGCAAGACCATCACAGCCAATCACGTGACAGAAAATGCATTTAGGTCAAGATGATCCGCTCATATTAATTTAAATGGACAGTTCACCCAAAATATGAAAAATTACTCACTATTTTTTCGCCCTCTAGTGGTTATAAAACTTTGTTTCATTAGTCTGTTGAACACCAGGAGATATTTCGAAGAAAGCTGTAACTAATGACTTCCATAGTGCAATGGAAGTCGATGTTTACAGGTTTTTAGCTTTAAAATATCTTCTTTTGTGTTCAACAGAAAAAAGAATCTCCAACAGTTTTCGATCAAGTGAAAAGAGATTAAGCGATGACAGAAATGTCATTTTTAGGTGAACTATCCCTTTAAATGAATTTGCATGTGGCATGGATTGCTTGTGTGAGACAGTCTGGACTAAATATTTCAGAAAGTGCTGGGATTTTCATGCATAACCATCTCTAGGGTTTACAGAAACGGAATAGTGAAATCTAAGAAAATGAAAACATCCAGTAAGCAGTGATTTTGTATGCAGAAACACCTTTTAGATGTCAGAAACCAGAGGAAAATTACCAAATCAGTTCAAGCTAACAGAAAGACAACAGTAACTAAAATAACTACTTGCTACAATCAAAATGTGCAGAAGAGAAACTGCCTGTCTACACCCCCATAAATGTGCTCTGTATTCTCTATTATCAAAACCCTCAGAGAGAACAAGTTGTTCACCTCTATATTTCACCACCTATTTTTGTTATTTGTGACCCATTAAAAGGTATCATCCACAGTGTCCATGCAGGAAGGATGATTTTAGAATACTTTAGGAACAGAAGGAGCCGAACAGAAGCTATTTAATGCTACATAGTGCTTTAAGCTACTTAATGCTTAAGTGTCAATCCATCTTTCTAATTAGACTTCATTCAATCCATCAGATTCACATCAGGACCCTCATTAGTCCACTTCTCTGAGCCAAGAGCACAGCTGGACGTGACGGTGGACACTAGTGTGTTGTTACATCACAGCCTGACTCCGAAACGTGGTTTAAAGAAGTAAAACAAATATATAAATTATTAGTGAATGACCATGAAGTCCCAGTTCAAATGGTACATTGGAGTTTGAGCTATTAAAAAGGCAACAGTACATGTAACTCTAAAAGAATGCATTACTGATCCAGAAGAGCATATTTGAACATAACACCACTGAAACTTGAATCAGATGAGCTACAAAAACAGATAAAACTTCACTCTGTCAGCTAAGAACTGAAGTTGCATATGATTATGACACCAAAGCTCATCAAAATTGCCTGATTTAAGAAGTCTTGATTTCTACAACGATTTTTGGATAGTAGTGTCACAATTTGACATCAACAACATGAAAGCATGATCCTCCTTGATGCTGGTGGTGTATTAGTTTGAGAGATTATGTTATTGAACTGCTCTGAGCCACTGAGTACCAGCTAAACATCATATACCCTGCAAGTGTGTCAATACTATTGCTGACCATGTCCATCCATTTATGACCAATGTGTTAATCTTGTTATGACTACTGTACTTCCAGCAGGAAAATATACCATGTGATGTAGCACAATTACTCTGAAACTGGTTTCTACAACATGAGAGTTGGTCTGCTACACTCAAATGTCCTTCAGTCACAAGATCTCAGTCCAATAAAGCATCTTTGGGATTCAACTGGAGATACACATCATGGATGTGTAGGCAAACAAAAATCTACACAAATTGCACAATGTCAGTATGGACCAAAATTCCTGAGAAATCTTTTCATCGCCTTGTTAAACCAATGTCATTAAAATTTGAGGCATTTACTCTATGGAACTAGGTTGTACCAGGTAAATCAATAGTATCTGGATGCAGCCCGAGATTGCAAGCTGGGATTGCATTGCTCAGAGATGCAATGTCAGGCACAACGCACTCAGTGGAGCTAGTGAGGGGTGAGGGTTAGGTGAGCACATTAAAAAGCATTGGATGCAGCTCAGATTGCACCTGCACCGAGTCTGCAGCCAGACCCCTCTCGATAAAGTGGCTATTCATTTATTCATTCATTTTCTTTTCTTTTCGGCTTAGTCCCTTTATTAATCTGGGGTCACCACAGCAGAATGAACCGATAACTCATCCAGCAAGTTTTACCCAGCGGATACCCTTCCAGCTGCAAACCATTTCATTCGCACTCATACACTACGGACAATTTAGCTTACCCAATCCCAAACGCAGGGAGAACATGCAAACTCCACACAGAAACACCAACTGACCCAGCCGAGGCTCAAACCAGTGACCTTATTGCTGTGAGGCGACAGCACTACCTACTAGGTATCCATCAGATTCACATCAGGACACTACCACTGCGTTGCCCAAAGTGGCCATTGAATGCAAGTCAAATTCTAGAAAATACTCCAACAATTAATGAAACCCGATTTTAGTTAGTTCTCCGCTTGAATAAGATTGGAACCTTAACCTTTAACTGTATTATGATTTGGTTCTTTTTAAAATGAAGCATAATAAAAACAACTAAACAATAATTCATCATCGCATACATTCGTTCGAGAAGTTTCAGGGTAATAAGCAGGACATTTTAGAGTCAGCCGGTCATTGAAACAACAAAAAACCCTTCAGGCTCAACCTGATCACCCTGTCAGGGTCTATTTAGTGAGCTGACTGTACATTACCCCTCACATATTTCATTAAAACACAAGTAGTCTTAAAGGGGGTTGCATTTTCATTGCATCTCTGTGAAGGCGCCGACTCTCCCCAACAACAATAACAGACAGTAGTTCATCATCTCAGGGCCTCCAGAAATAACGAAAGGAAGAACGTGGACATGAAAAGCGAGCCAAGCTGCATATGAGAACATACAGAGGTCAGGACTGTAATCATCTGACCCGATCAATAATTAACCAAGGTCACCTTTAATGATGGGAAGGCAATGTGGCATATATTATTCATACAAACCCGTCTCTATAGAGAGATGAAAGTGCCGGAGAGGCTGTTGAAGCTGAAGAATAGGCTAAAGGAGAACAAATAAATGAATTTCTCAAGACTGCGTTGGTCACAAAACAGGAATGCTGCGTACATATGAAAGCCTCAACAGGGTATGTGTTTTGTGATGCAGCAAATTCCTCTGCAGTTTCTATTGGATGAATCATGTCTGGGCTGGAATCTGTAAAATAGCGGCAGTTCACTCAAATGCCACAAGAGGTTCAGAGAGACATTCATCATGAAGAAAACGAAGTGAGCCAATCTCCACGGGAAGGCGCATGGTGAGAGATGTGTAAATGCCGGCAGTGGAGCGTGGCGAGTCCATTCACTGCTGCAAGGCAAAAGAGAGAAAGTTTTTGAGTCCAACTGGAGCCTTTTTTTTTTTTTTTTTTCATATCCCACGTGGCAAAAGGGGATTTCCTTGCTCTCACTCAATCTGACGCACATTCACTATGCTAAATACACCAGAACAGATAAATGATGCAATGTCAAGCAATCCTGAGGGATCAAGGCTGCCAGAAAAAAAGGGACGGAGTCATGACTGTGGCGGCACCAGCTTAACCCTGTGATGAACCCTCATTCAGCAAAATCTTGGCTATGGATTGCAAATATTTAGTAATGTATTGCCTCAGAGGAACATGATAAATGGGGTTTGTGCAAACAAATGTTGGCTTGTGCATTGCAGGTTCGTGAATTGTAATGCGAATCACATTTCTTACACACATCTTGTACTAATTGTACCCATTAGCTGTTTATGCAAAGCTGAACTTTCAGAAGTCATTACTCCTTGTTTGAATGTCATGTGATCCTCTTTGCCAAATAGAAAGTTTTATTTTCTTTACAGTAACATTTAATGAATTAAATGTGCCCTTAGGTGAATAAAGTTACTAAGTTTATTAAAAACATCTTACTATTTTGTATTTTTGTTAAAATGAAAAAAAATGTGTTTTTAATATTTAAATTATGTGTTTTTGTCGAAACAAAGTACATTAAATATGAAAAAATGAAACAATTGTAACATTTAGCAGTATTACTTATGCAAATATCCAAACTCTCTAAAATGTCTATAAATGTGTATTGGAACGCATCACTTCACTGATGTTGAAAGGTACAATTTAGACTGCTGAAATTTAAACAAACCTATGGATTTAAAGCTACAAATATTTACAAATCTTTTGTCAATAAAATTTGTAGCAGTTGTAAAGATGCACTTATTATTTTACCAACAAATGATGTACATTTATCCTAACCCTACCTAAAACACTTTATTTACTAAAATGAAAACATAATTACACTCCTACTTATTAACCCAACTTAATTCATTTACAAAATAATAATAAAAGAAAAAAAAAAATATATATATATATATATATATATATATATATATATATATATATATATATATATATATATATATATATATATATATACATATAAACATATATAAACATACATACATACATACATACATACATATAATAGTGCAATTGCAATAATTTAAAGGTGCCCATAATAAAATCTGGGTATACCAAGGCATGGTAAAACAATAAAAGATGAGTAAATGGAAATGAACATACTGTGAGCCTCAGACACCACTGTTTCCTCGTGCTCATGTAAATTCCATGAGTGTAAAACCCCAGTGGACAACTGGCTAATCAGAAGACAAAACAAACAGTGACGAGACTCATGGGCCATGCCCTCCACATTAGCATGTATGCCTACGTTAGGTCACTCATCTGGACCAGACGAGAAGCCGTGCCATCAAGAGTCACCTTTAAATGTTAGGATGCGGTTTTGTGATAAAGCAGGTACTGTAGGTGAAAATGAGCATCAATGTAAAACAGAGTTAAATAAACTGCTGAATAAAGGCTTTTGTCTGTTCCTCACAAACACACAGATTCTAAAGATATGGATTACAACACATGCATGAATTTGATTGCTTTTGTGTTTTTATTTGGCAGTTTTGGTGTCACAGTTTGACTTAACAAGCCTATTGTGTGTTCCATGGTGAACTAAAGTATAATTAAATGAATAATGGTTAATCAAATTACATTACACTACATAATCAAGATTTTTTTATTAGTTTATGGACATGGTCATACAAAAACAATTCATTTTAGATAGTCAGTATCACAATATTGTGCTGTTTGTGTCAATGTATTAAGACTTTTTTAATAAGTACAGTAAATATATATATTTGGTAGAACCATATTTGATGTGAATACAAATACTCATGAGATTACTAGACACTGACATTGTGAGATATAATTATATGCTGTGTGCTTTACCTCTTTTGTCTCAGAACAAATTATGCATTGCAATGCATCTGCGTACAGGAGTTTTGGGGTAAAATTTCATTCAAAAGTCAAAGAGTCAGAATATATCATACAGAAAGACAGACAAATAATACACACTTGTATAAACTGCCCGACTACCCTCAGATAAACATACTTGGTGTGATGTTCTTCATAATCCAAACCCTTAAAGGGAACAAGTTGTAGACCTCTATATTTTACCCTTTGTTAATGATATTACATTTTTTGTCCATAGAGTCCTAACAGACTAGTAGGCAGATTTCTGAACACTTCAGGTACAGAATGAGCTGGCTGTCACACTTGAGTGACAATCCATCTTTCTAATTACACTTCATTCAATCCATCAGATTCACCTTAGGACCCTCATTAGTCCACTTCTCTGAGCCACCAGCACAGCTGGACATGCAGGTGACAGCAGTGCTGTTACATCACAGACTGCCTCTAAAACATGTTGCCACGTGGCCTACAAAAATAAAGCAAGAAAAATGAACTAATCAAAAAGATTAGAACAAATGTTAAGGAAAAAACACTATTCAATTATAAAATCACATTTTTAAACCAGAAACTTACACATTCCACCTGCTCTTACAGTGACAAACATGAGTCCGATCCGCAGTTTCAAATGACTGTCACTGCTCTTTGAAGTTGTGACCAAATATTTGCTGACATTGAGGGAGCGCGTGTCCTTTTTGGAGTGTTTGCTTGCTAGTTTCCACTGAACTGGCCTTCTTTAGAGCACTGGTACACGTGTGCCTGGCCTGCTGCCCTTAGATAAAGAACAGAGAGTGTTAGTAAGCGGGGAGTGAAATCAAAGGAAAAAGAGATAAGAAAAAAAAAAACAGAAGATGTGATGGTCAAACGAGTGCTGAACAGTACAGAATTAATCAATGTTCACATGGCAGCTTGTCCTTTTAGCATAACGTGCAAACCACAAAAACAAATATACAAGACAACTGCATCCGGGAGCCCCGTTAAAGAATGTTTAACTGGCAAAACTGCATTTCATGCTGAAATATGAGTTGTGGGAAAGTTGGCATTACAGGAGCGAGTGCTGAAAACCATACCTCTGTGACAGGACCACCCAGTAACCACGAAGTACAACACGTCCCATGATAGAGATGAGAGACCACTTTACTGAGGAATTCAGTCCAATTTGAGTCCACCAACAGAGGGTACGGTTATCTGATACACAACCTCTTCACTGCAAAAGAGGAAGCACATGACACAAGAGGGGGCAAATATTTAAGAGAACTATTTGTGAAATTTAGATAATGCCCTTCCTGGAAAGACCGACTTTTAAGGGTTTATCCACAGATTATGTTCTGCCTTTATTTCATCATTCATAATGCATGCTAGTTTATTTACAATTCATTAAGCCCTTTATCTGGCTTGAAGCTTCAGATTCATGGTTTCTGTTTCAGAGGCGGTCACATGGTCACGGTGGCAGTCGGAGAAAGAGGATTAGGAGAGAATCCACTGACGAAACAGTCTAGCCAGATTGGCCGTACCCTCTGTTGACCCCCCCACCCCTTAACTGTGTAGCATCCCGCTCTCCCATTAATCTAAACACAGGGTCCTCAATCCCCAATTCCATTAACCTGAGCTTTACTGAGGATCCATGTGAAATTCCTCAGCCCAAGAGCTAGTGCTGCACTTAAAGCATCTCATTATACATCTAGTCACCTAATCATTACAGCATAAGGGTGTCATCATGCTTACATTGTCATTGATTTTTAGATGAACTCACCGATTAATATGCATATTTATATTATAATACACTGGGGTCACTGTGGGGTTAAACGGCCCATACTGTGCTTAAACTAACCCTTTTTCATTACAAAAAATAAATCTGTTGGATAAAGAAACAAAGCCAGGACTTCATATAAATATGGAGTATTTATTGTATTAATAACGTATAGTACATTAGTGCATTGAGCTTTAACTGGACTTTTAATATTTGGATATTTTTAAATTGTATTGTTTTTAAAATTGTTTTATTTTTAGAAATTAAAAAATGTCAATGTCTTTTTACACCTCCCTTTCTACATGTGTTCAATAATTTCTTTTTCCTGTGTCTTTTCATTTTATTACAAATAATTTAACTTGTAAACTATATATATTTCATTGGTTGTTAACATCTGGTGAAAATTTTATGTATTTTGTACTGTCGTTGTATTTGCACGATCTGTAGTTTGTACTGTCTGGAGCCAGCACCTAAGCTTTTCACTCATCATAGCACACAAGCTGCTGATGATGTGACATTAAAAAGTGATTTGATTTTGATTTGATTTGAAATTTTCAAGCCAACAGGCACCTTTAGAAATATACCACTGTATGTATATATATATATATATATATATATATATATATATATTTTTTTTTTTTTTTTTATGTATACATAATACATATTAATACACACACACACACACACACACGCACGCACACAGTATAATATGTAATACTTAATAGAAAGTGTAAAATGCTATATGGGAAAAATAAGGTTACTTTATTTTATTTTTAAATGTTATTTTTCATTTTATTATTTTTTATTATATTTTTATTTTAAAATGCAATATGGGAGGAATAAGGTTTAATTTCATTTCATTTTATATTATATTTTATTTAATATTTTTTAGTTGTATATTTTATTTTTTATTTATTTTAATTGAAAGGTTTAACATTTCTTTTTTATTTTATTTATTTCTATTTTTGTTTTTTAATTTTTTTGTTTTATAGTTTATATTTTATTTATTTATTTATTTATTTATTTATTTATTTATTTATTTTTTATAGGGGGGGTTCAACAATTTGTGCTAGCCAGATACTTATTTGTTTTTTTGCGAAAAGTTATTATGTAAAAATACTTGGCAAACCCCTTTAAAGAGACTTTTACCACCATTAAATTCAACTACCAATTGACATCTCTGCATCTTTTGAGAGCAGTAGGTGGCACATACAGGTGCTCGTGACCTATTTATAATATCTGCTGACATCACTGTTCATGTGAGTTTGTGTTCATTTTCAGGTAGGAGCCTCGTGTTCCTGCTTCATGCTGCCTCACAGAGGCTCAGTCCAGTCCTCTGAAGGTCAGGCTGCCCGTTGGTGTGCTCTTATCACACAGGACAACCCCTTCACCATATTCCTCAGTACCCGTGAATTTGACAAAACCAGTAAACACGTGTGTGTGTGTGTGTGTGTGTGTGTGTGTGTGTGTGTGTGTGTGTGTGTGTGTGTGTGTGTGTATGTGTGTGTGTGTGTGTGGGACCTCAAAGTACAACGTGACCTGTAAACAGGATTGCGTATTAAAAAAAATCCTAATACTGCATCGTGTGATTTAGCAATGATGGATGACAAGATGCACTTTATGTGATTACATTCAAAAATCAGAACAAAACATCTGACAGTTCTTCAGTGCAAATATGCATTCAAATTAGAGTATGGCAACTACAAATATAACTACATTAGCATTCACAACAACAACAGATAATAACATTGTGTTTATTATAAGCACAATAAAGTTGTCAATTGCTGCTTTAAAGGGCTGTCTTAAAAAAAAAGTAAATAAAAAAATCTTGCACATACCTTAGGAATGTTACTACAGAACATTTTGGCGGTTTTAAAACCTTGGCTTTACAAACCTTGGAATATTTGAAAACTGTTATCGTACCATGCCTACTGTACAGTATATGATAAAGAAGAAATGCTTGATAAGATGGAAAAGGCACATTAAGATGGATATGGAAACATTAAGGGATGTGTAAAGCTGATTTTATTTATTCATTTAGCTGACGAAAGAAATTCAATTTAGATGATGGAGTGCGCTGGCCTGAGGCCAACACAGGGAATTATCACAACCATTACAATAGGCTTTATTGAGATGCTGCTTGTTTAACATTACACAAGCACCCATCACAACTAATGGAGGAATTTAACAGATGTGAAAACAAACTACTCGTATTAGTCTCATTGATGAATGCTATAAATGACCTTGTCATAAAACTAAGGATCCTCAGCCAGTCTAAACAGCATTATTGTTCAAATTCCACAAATACTGTCCTAACCTGCAATACAGTATGTACTATTGCATAAAAAAAGAGGAGCAGAAGTGGAAAGAGAAAGGAGGGAATAAACTTGCAGTGCAGGGTGTGCTCTGTATTTAAGGTTTTTCCTAGAAAGATTTTTCCTAGAACTCCACTTTGTCATTTGACAGAATGTACAGAAAGTCCAATCGACCGCAGTGTCTGGTTGGCAAAGTCTCTATTAAAAAAAAAAAAAAAAGAGTGGAGATTGCAGTAACTGATCCAGATCATCTGTTTATTTTCATTTCGGCCTTGAGACATTACTCCATGTTTATTTGCTAATCGCAGCGCTGACCTGAAATACCCCGCCCCACAGAATACTTTGTAATGTATTACGGCACAGCTGTAGTGCAGATACTGTTGCTCAAGTTTCAACGTAAGAGCAAGAGATTTCCCTACAGTAGACTTCCAATTCTCAGGGAGCACAAGCTCAAAGCAGTCCAATTACGTCAGAGAGGGGGATTCACATGGATTCAGCAGCTTAGAAGTGTAGTTATGGATCACTACATCTCAGACACCACAGTCATTCATCCTTATTATTAAATTAAGTTCTTCAGCCTCAGCCAAATCACCTAAGATTTTGGGTTGGAAAATATATCAGGCTGCATGAAATCCCTTAAATGTTAAATGGTGTGCAATAGATAGTCTTACATCATTAAAATGCACATAACTCACAACCACACACGCAGTTATCGCTTTCATAAGCGATTTTTGGATGTTCCCATAACAATCCACAATGGGGGAGAAAGCCATGACAGGAACGAGTTAGTAAAGGATGTGTGATGCAAAAAAAATTTCTCTTTCAACTCCCGCTTTCCCAAGTCTGTATGTGCTGACATGCAATTTATAATGTAACTATTTTGTGGCTTGTGTCTTTTTTTTTTCCAAACATTCTTTCAGGCAAGGTCGTTGCGACTGTCAAGGAAAGTACTGGGCCTTCTCAGCATTCCAGCTAAACTGGAATTTTATTTATCAGTGATTGCATAACCTTCTGCACCTCACAAGTGGAGAGATGCAGCAGTAACCACAACATTCAGAGAGCCGTGTCCGTTGCGCGCACGAGAGAGATTTCCCACAGGAGGAAAACAACAACAGAGGTCTGACCACATACAAACCCCAACACCCAAACACATGTTCCTATCACAATATTGACTTCCTCTCTCTTTCCACTGGACACTGTGAGAGAGAAGGTGATTTCAACAGAAGAAGTGCTGCATGTTTAGTCTTCTAAAGCAGACATGTTTCATATAAAGTAAAGAGGTAAGCTTAGGGCTGGGCGATTTGGTCTAAAATAAAAATCTCGATTAATTGAACATTTTAACTCGATTACGATTAAAGAAGGATTATTTTATTTATGTATTTTTTTGCCCTCATAGTTCACTGACAGGTTTTGTACAGTAAATACGCTCACAAATTACAAGTCAGAGATGTTTAAATGAAGGGTGCATTACTTGATTTTAAGATAAAGAAAACACACTCTTTACTATCCATACTTGCTTCAATGTTGAACAACTAAAATTAAAACACACACTGCCTAAAACCAACAGTCTCTCTTTCTTAATTGTTTTAATAAATAACTTGCACTTTTGGAAACAATATTAATTATTAATACGGTGTTTTTCACATTAATAAAAAACAAGCAGTATCTCTTCTAAATAAAATAATTCTTGTATATCCTGTAAATAATATTTTAACAGCGCATTTCTTGAATCTTCAGTAAACAAATATTTTAATGTAAATAAAAATTTTATTGTAATGAAAAATATGACATCTCAATGATTTTCTGGCAAAGCTTCCAATCATAATTAATGTAGTGCAAAAGTGCATTGTGTAGTTTTTTTTTTTTTTTTAGAGGTGCACGTGTATGCGACTGCACGAAGGCATTGCCGGACCACAACAGTGCGTTCAACGCAGAAGTATAAATTAGAGTGGGGAAAACGCAGTAGGGAAAGTAACTGAAAATAATTAGATCGATTATAGGTTCTGAATGTTGATTTCAATTATTTTTTTTAATTAATCAGCCAGCCCATATGAGCTCCATATAAGAAAAATTCAACAAAAAATTTAAAGTTTGACTAAGTTATATTTCCAACACAAGTTAAAGGTGATTTTGAATTACTTCAATAAAAATGAAAGAAATGAAACAAACTATTAAAAAAAAAAACATGACTGATCAAAAATCTAATAAAAAACACTTCAAATCTACTCCATAAACAAATAAATGATACATTTTGTCCTACTAATTCAGAATCATTTTAGCAGGGGTTTTATAACTTTACACCACTGGCATTATTCCTGGATGAAGCCAATACAGATGATCAGTTTTTTGCAATGACATGCCAACAATTCAAGTTTTATATTAGTCTCAAGCAAGAGCTCTCATTTAGGCCCAATCCCAATTCTACCCCCTTACCCCTACCCCTCGATTTGCACGGTTCACATTCATGTGGTAAGGGTGTCCCAATTATCTTAGTCTTGAAGGCATAAGGCTAAAGAGATGGACTAGATATCCCTTGAAACAGAGATTTTTCAGGACCACACTCAAAACCAAAGGGTACAGAAATTCCCCAGAATACACCATCTACAACGGCAGCATGGCTGCACACTTAAAGAGTTGCACAAATTAGTATTTTTTTCATATTATTAAAATTTTTTACAACAAACAAGCATATGTTTTAATGCATTCATAATGGCGTTTGTGTTTTACCGTCATGCTTTAATAAATAAATACCACTAAATTTTGCTATCTATAATTCCTAATAATAACTCCTGTACAGTAGTCCCACAACATCCTGACATTTGATGACACCCGAATACCCTGTCAGAAAAGTCTAGTGGCTGATAATGACATTTTTACAGTGTCTGCTATAATGTTAATGTTGTTTTGGTGTTTACATGTTTAGATGAATATGGCCAGGGTGTAAATGCACAGTACAGTTACGAGTTTGTTACCACATTATATCGTTATGACAACATGATAGATGCCTTCAGTGATTTCCTGAAGATCGTCAATCTCATATGAAGCAAGAGATCGAGATGACATGATGACGTGATGCAGTGCTGTCTCGTTTTTTAGGGGTAAATTTTGAAGCCCTCCCCCTTCACACACTGTTTCAAGGGCCAAGGAGAAAGGGTGCAAAAGTAGAATTGGGCCATTTGAAGTCTTTTCTTCAGAGTATGAGATGATCATTTCATAAGTTTTTTTTTATCCTTTTTGGAGCATAAATGTCCATTCACTTCAAGAATGATAATGATATTACTCAAGGTGATGTTCTGTTTAATGCAAGCGTGTGCTGAAGTCATGATATCTGCCACTTTAAATACTCTAGTGTGTGAATTCTGATTTGCTGTCAGTATTTCTATGGTTCATCAGTTGGAAATTCATTCTGAAAGTCATTAACAATATTCCTCTGTCATTATTGTTATTAGAGGTGGTGTGGACTATTCTTCATGCCAATATTCACAGATATAGTATTATTATGTAGTAATTCTTAATATCCTTGGCATAACCAGGCCATAAAAGACATTCCTGCTTGCATTAGAAAAAAAACTGAGTGGAACAACTAAACTTTTTGTGAACAACAGCATAAAAAGGATTTGTCCATTTTTCCGTTAATCTTGCATTTAAAGGTTTCTCTCTGAGATGCAAAGTTCCCTAAACCAAAGACTGACTCTGAAAGTTTCCATTCAATGTCCAATTTGTTCCAGCCCTGATTTACAATACTGTACCCTGGTTCCCATGCGCCCTGCACTGCTGATGCTGTGTTTAATCTTGAGAAGGAATGTGACCTTGTCTTTTGTCCTTGGCTTGCGCAGAGTATGGGTCCCACTAAGCTCAATTTGGCCTTCCCTGTCATCTATGGAGCAGATGCACACCAACAAAACTGGCAGGAAGTCAGGCAGGCAGAATGACTGATAATGACCCTGAAAGGTCAAATAACACTCATTATGTGACAATGGAAGTGGGAAACATGTAAGATCCCAATGCCGAAAATAATCACACCAGGTACACAATGGGATGTTCAAGGACCTGAATTAATAAACTGATCATTACTACCTTTATAATACTGATATGTGTGGCCGTAGACTACAAAACCTTTATCTTTTGTTGCATGGGTATATTTTTGGCAATAGCTAAAAATTCATTGATGATACATCTTTATTTTATGCCAAAAACAATTAGGATTTGAGCATTAGGTTAAGATCATGTTTCATAAAGATATTTAGTAAACTTCCTACTGTAAGCATATCAAAACTCGATTTCTGCTTGGTAATGTGCATTGAAAAGAGCTTAATTTGAACCTTAAAATGTGATTTTTTAAAGCATTTAGACTCTTTTGAACACTCAAAATAGCTCCATTTCAGAAAACAAATGTCAATTGGTAAACTTATTTAATCAACTTTCAGTTTTTAAAAGCTGACACTTACAACCAGGGTCACATTATTATAGACACCTCAGTTAAGTAAAACAAAGTGTAAAGATGTGTCTTGTTCGACAAAGAAGACCAACTATATTCAAATCCTTCCAAAAAAAAAAAAACACACCATCACCCATCAAGCCTCAACAAAGCAGTGACTTTCAGTTATTTCTTAACATGGGCCCGTTATTTCCCAACAGATTCCTGCATGAGCTGAGTGATAACACAAATGTTTGCTGGTATTTGGGTTTGTCTGTGCGGGAGGAGCACTGAGATTGGCTTCTCAGGAAGGAGCGAGCCATGGCTGTTACCCAGCGGCTCAGTCCAACTGAGATTACTACAAGCCTGTCAGCTCTATCAGAAAGAGAAGCGTTTCTGTTGGACAGATAACTCCAACACGGATCCATACAAAACTCTTGTGTCTCACCTATCTCTGCCTCTCCTTACTCTTCATATCTGGGTGGGGAGCATTTCCTGTTTTTAATCTTTCAACGGAGCTCAAGCCATCCACCACTCAGTTGTGTCTGTTAAAAAAGATGGACAAAACATTTGAGAGATGAGTCAGAAGGTGGTTAGTAAAGTCTGCTACTATAGGGTACTTTTTCATCCGTATTTACCCTAACCCTTGTATGGTTTAATCTATTTTTATTGATCTTTTAATATTTATTTTACAAAAGAAACATATTTTGACCTTCAGGATAAAAATGTCCCCACTGAAACCTATTAAAACGTCACTATTTCAAATTAGTATCTGAATTAGAAATTCACAATTAATAATTCAAGCAACAAAAAAGCACACTTTTTTTGTTATCAGGCTTCCAATTTGTTTTTTAAAATTCTATTTATTTTACCTTTTTTTTTAATGTACTGTAACATTTGCAGCAGGCCAAGAAAACCGACCAGCACTTAAAATGTAATTATCATTAGTATTGTACTGTATTATACTTATCAATGTTGTTGTTTTTTAATCACAGAAATATCCTTTAATTATAAAAGAAATGCTTAAACGAATGTTTGCTTTTGCTTTTTATCAGGACTAATGCTAGTAATCTATGTGAAATTGTAAAAAACAATTATGGTAGCATTTTTCTCCTCAGTGGACCTACACTACCGTTCAAAAGTTTGGGGTCAGTATAATTTTTAAATGTTTTAAAATAAGTTTTCCTTCTCACCAAGGCTGCATTTATTTAATCGAAAATACAGTACAAGTTGTAAAATTGTGAAATGTTATTGCTCTATAAAATAACTGCTCTAAATTATTTTATAATTTAATCATTTATTGCAGTGATTTTAAAGATGAATTTTAGTCAGTCTTCAGAGTCACATGATCCTTCAGAAATCACTATTATAATAATTATTAATATTACAATAATAATAATAATAATTGTTATTATTTTTATTATTATTTTTATTATTAATGGTTTATAGTTATACAAGCAATAATGACTGGAGTAATGATTTTGTAATGATTTTTTAAAAAGTCAGTCGTTAAATGAGAAAAAAAAAAAGTTTTAAAATGATGACACAGCATACCCTTTAAACTTATTTCTTTTACATTAGTCCTATATTTATTACTAAAATTAAAACCAATTAGGAAAAAATTATGAGGAAAAATAATTAATAAACTACATTAAAATACAAAATGTATTTATTTCACATGATCATGAACATATTTTTTGCCCCTCAAGCCATGTGAATAGTATTTTAGAAAGATGTATGAATTTAAAACTAATGTAAAAAGGAAACAAAAAAGAAAAAAGCACATATTCTTGTACACTTTTATGCTTCTCGTCAGGCTGCTTTTGAAAAAGAATGCATCCTGTGTGAACACACCTTCAAAAATTGTAAGGAACTAATCAACATGTACTACCTTAAATCAAAGCCTTGGGACTAATTAGTTGGGTTTCTTTAAAACCACCCATTAACAGGTAAATTCTAAAATTATTGTATTAGTGTTAGTTTTCTAATAAGCCCTACATTAGCACTCAATAAGGAACCCCCTAGGTTTTTATGAGGTCACAAAGGGGTTAATCACTTTTTAAAAATGTGTTAGTAATTCTCAGAATTGTTCATGCGCTTTAAACGTGTGAAGAAGCGCACAGGAAACAGTTTTTTTTTTTGTGAAGAACTGGGGCCCAGCGATTTCCCCTGATCTCTCCTACATCATACTTTCACTCTTCATTTCTCATCTCTCCTTTGAGGCATCTGAGGTTTCTTGTAATTTGTAAGATGACAAATAAACATTCTCTGTGACGAGAGAGCAAGATGACAACAATAGTCTATGACAGGTAATTTACCTCAGACTCAGGAAACAACAAGCTCCATTTTGAAGATCGAGTCTCATTGTGGGACAACTCACATCTTCAATGTTTTTCTTTCTCCTACAAAGAAGAGAAACAAACAGTGAATGTTGTCAAGAAGATTTTACTGAGTTGAGTTCTGGTCATGCAACTTAAGAAAAAAATAAATCAGCTGTTATTAAATTTTTTTTATAAAGAACTTTAAGTTAGAAAAAGCTTTGAACTCATTGATCTTACACTGTCAGGGGATGTTGCACAGTGATCTCACACAGGAAATACAACCTGCCAACTACTAGCGTACCACAAACTAGTTTTATTTCACTTCTTTGTCACCATTTATTTAATTAAATGCCTCCTGATTATAAGGCACTACTGTCAAGAAACCAACTACAGGTTCGTCAAAAGCCAAGCCATATTAGTATTTGAAAAAAAAAAAAAAAAAAACAAAGCCACAGGAGGAATTCACCTGTTAGATTTGATGACCTAAACCACAGGTCAAGTTAAAGGTTAAAACACCCTTGATAACACATAATAATCAGCCTTTCATCAAAGATAATGTCAGTCATAGAAGAAGTACATAGTAAACAAAAAAAATTTCACTACCGTTTATTCTTTTATTAAAGGTTAAATAGATAAGGAGTTTTAGTAAATATTAACATGGATGCTATCTTTCCCTTTCAAATACAGATAAAAAGAACTGAATAACTGAAAAAAATAAAGATATGCAATCAGATTACAAACAATTCCTAGGTGGGTAACATAAAAAGAGACGATTCTGGAAAACTATTAGCAAAAAAAGTGATAATGAAACTGAAATCACTGAGCCTTTATAATCAACAACCATAGTGTATGGTACATTGTGTGCTCATAGACTTAACAAATCACAAAATGAGAGATTACCACCAAGGTGTGACTATCAAAATATGCTAATTGTTTCTAAACAACTAACTGTTTGTAAACAACAATTCAATTGTAGACAGTTAAAAATTAAAATCATCTTGCACACAATGAAAGAGTTTGTGACTGAGCCTTATAAGACTGAAACCAAACTCAGAAGAGTTTGTTTTTTTTATAGAGGTGATGATTTATCCTTGATGATTTATAACATGCAAGTCAACTGATACGGACAGTCAGAAAAACAACCACAGGAGAGACTAAATAAATACTCATGATGATCCAATAACGGTTTACACAAAAAGGTGCAAATTATATGAATGTGCAAAACTGGAATATTGCATAAAACCTCTGCGAAAAAAGCAGTTTCCATCAAATGTATAAGAACAAAATTGTCACCTCCTGACAGCCACACAAAAATTTTGTGGTAGGAGAAACCAGTGTGGGTCTTTTTTTCCTTATAAATTACTAAACTTTTCTTAGTTCATATATTACTTGCACCTCAAATCATGCAGATAAACAGTTATTAACAATTTCAATGTGACAAGCAATGTCGTAACAAATTTATTCAGTAAATTTATTTAATGGAATGTGTTTCCCCCATACTTTATGCAGATTTTGTCTTATCGGATTAAAAGTTTATCATACTCATTTGTGCGCATTTGTTTTTGATGCCTATTTTCAAAATGTGTGCACATCTTTCAATTTCCATTAAACCTTTTTGAATGCATTATTGGAAAATGGACAAAGTTTTTTTAAGCTAATATTTTATCTTTTTTCCCCATAGCTAATGATGTCTTATAACAACTCGACTGGTCTGTGCAAAAAAATAAACATTATTTACAACATCAGGGCCTTGGACGAACGTCTTGTCAGCGGCCCCAGGGGCATTCAAAATGTCTGTTTTTTTTGAGAATGGAAAGAATGCTCTGAATATTCCTTACAAAAACCCCAAAAAATATCGCTTTTTATAAAGTTTGTAGCACCCAGGTTTACCACAAGCTAGGGTTGTGCGATTAAGTGAAATCGTATTAAAATCACGATTTGGACATTTTAAAATCACCTTACAGCATGAATTTACTGATATACAGTGCATATGGAAAGTATTCATAGAGTTTCACTTTTTACACATTTCTTTATGTTACAGCCTTATTCCAAATTGGATTAAATCAATTAACTTCCTCTAAATTCTACACACAATTCTCCATAATCACAACATGAAAATTTTTTTTTTTTGTAATTGTTGCAAATTTATTGAAAAAAAAAAAAAAAAAAACTGAAAAATCACTTGTACATAAGTATTTACAGCCTTTGCTATATACTTTGTTGATGCACCTTTGGCAGCAATTACAGCCTCCAGTCTTTTTGAATATGATCCCACAAGCTTGGCAGTTTGGCACACCTGTCTTTGGGAATTTTTGCTCATTCCTATTTGCAGTACCTCTCGAGCTCTATAAGGTTGGATGGGAAGCTACGGTGTACAGCCATTGTCAAATCTCTCTTGACATGCACTGTCAACCCTGGGACCTTATATAGACAGGTGTATGCCTTTTCAAATCATGTCCAATCAACTGAATTTACCACAGGTGAACTCCAATTAAGTCGCCTATTTCACGGCAGGTTCAAAAAGAGGTCTGTTCTATGCATGGCAAAAAAAAATAAAAAATCTGTGGGCACGTAAAAAAGTACACGCAACTACTGATATGTGGTCAAAAAGAACATCTGAGCCTTAAATGAGTTTGATGGCGTACATGCACGGTAGACGTTACAGGTCTTTGATAAAGATCTACTTATTTTCCTTCAGAAACATGTTTCAAATTCACACTATAAAACATCTGTGTGTGACAAAATCATGATTTCAATCGAAAGTGCAATATTGTTTAAGCAATAGGGTTCTTTTGCCCATATGGCACAGCCCTAGCACAAACACAGGTTTAGAACACTTGTGCATCAGACTTTCAGGAACATGTTGTTGAGGCAATTTGCATTGACTGGAAATTAAACATAAAATAATATTCAGTTTATTGCAGAGATCTTTTTGGATTGCCAGGACTTCACCATATCCTCAGATGCCATGAGTATTCATGTTTTTTTGCCTGTATGTTTTTTTATTTTCAAAATCATGGTAGCCATTTATTTACATTTAATGAATTACCACATCAAGAAAAGTTTGAGTTTATTGCATTATGAACAACCATGATTCCCTTTTTCATGGCAAAAATAAACAAAATAATTCTTTTTTTTATAAATAAAACTTTTCTATAATAAATTAAATTTATAACAATAAAAAGACAACAACCTACTGGCGAAGAACAAAAAAAAAAGTCACATACAATTTGTATGGCCTGAGGGTGAGCAAATTAACTGCAGATTTCAGGCTTGCGTGATCTATGCAAGAAAATCATCAAATGAAATATGAAATCTCAGCAGGTTTTTTTTCACAGCAAGAGGTAGGATGTGACACAGAAACAATGTACAATGCCTCAGGAATACAGAGGGCTTTTTTCTGCTCTGAAATTAACTTGCAACACTCATCCACATGTATTCAAAACACGCAGGTAGCAGACTAGTGGGGCAGGCACAAAAATAAACAGTCCTGTGAGAACAAGGAATCGGAGCCAGACCAGAATACTAGCAACCTTCTGGAAAGCAGACGCACACAGCCAAGTACGCCTGGCATGGCCAACTAGCCTGAATCCTGCCAAAGAGGCCTGGTTGATGCCAGCACCAAAGCATCTCTCACTTAGAGCGAGAATTGAATATGGGGCAGGCAAGGGTGTCAGGAGGGCAGGAAAGATCATGGGGCTGTAGAAGACGCCCACTGAAGAGTCACCTCTGAGTGTGAAAGAGCTCTACAGAGGAACAGATGAGTCAGTTTGAGAGAGAGATGATATTCTCTGGGCTTTTTCATGTGGGAGCAGATGAGAAATGGCCGCTAATATAAGCAGTAAACAAGAGTGGATTCCCAGTGCAGATAAAGATAAATGGCACAAATTCTGAAGAAAATTTGTGGTGTTAACTGCTGTAAAATTACTCATCCTGTGTTTGCACAATTGTAGAGGTGCAGAAACTAAAACTTCATTCAAATAAAACGTAATAAAAATTAACAAAGAAAACAAACTGACAATGAATTAAAAAGACCAATAGGAAGGGAAAGGTTTTAGCAAATATATGGGATCTGCTTAATGGCAAAAATATATGTCTGGGATGTTGTTTTTGCAATTCTGTCATGATGCGTCACATTTTTACAACTTGGCTATGTACTCACATCACATGCATCCGCAATGGTCACACCGCAAGATGCACAATGTGGAGTGAGGATTGTAGTTGAACAGAAGCCACAGTTCAGAACACGTGATTTGTGAAGTCATTGCCAAAGTCTAGCCATAATACAGAAAAAGTTTATCGATTGCATTAGTTTTTAAGGCCCATGTGTTAGCATTTTAGGTGAGTTTAAAACATTCAGGTACAAGAAATTATAACATTAGCAGCCTTAACAAAAATTAATTGTATTAAATTATTTATGTGGTGAGTAAAGCTGCACGATTCTGGCTAAAACGAGAATCGCGATTTGTTTGACTAAAACAAAGATCACGATTTTCTCACGATTATGTAGATGTAAAATAAAGGTTAATATGAGTGGGCTATTATTATTGTTATTCTCAAACATGGGGTAAAACAGCAATAGGCTTTGTGTAGCTGTACTGTTGGCTAAAATGCGAAATTTAGTAGACTTGGAATGGTGGACTTGAACAGACTTTAGATTTGTCCTGGTTATTAATGCTGATGATAATTCTGATGTTGAATTATTGTGTTTGAGACATGCTTGCAATCTGTAATTTTCTGCTTAAAATCTGTCACTGACGTGATTTTCGTGAATACAGGAGACTGGGTGGGTATTTTTGCATTTGGCAGATTTTGGATACTTTTTGGGCTGGAATCAGTCAGCTACATGTGGCAACACTGCGTGCACTTTCGGTTTCATTTTCACTGCTAAGAGCGGTTCAAACTTCCCGCGCGGCTCCCAAGCGATCACTCTGTGCCACAAACTGAATGTTATTTACAACTTTATTACCTAGTATTCACAGCTTATGCAGGTTCTGTTCACTAAAGTAAACTTCATTCAGAGGCGCGCACACGCACGCACGTCTGCCCGCCCTCCCTGCTGTAATAGCTGACAGTCAGCT